CCGATTTTATAGTGCTAATCCACTGAGATACCATGTCACAGTTTCCACTCAGACACAGTATACAGACTCCGGGCTGACCAGTCCTTAATGCCAAGCACCAGGCAGGGTAGCAACAAGTACCATCTTTTAACGTCTTTTGGAATGACGCAGCCGGGGATCAAACCCCAGACCTTCTGCTCTCCGGGCGGACTCTCTACCACGAGACCACAGAGGCGGCCTACAAATTTCTTCAAGGAACCCTGTGTACATTAACTCTTAATGGATGTGATTCACATGAAGTTAATCATGAATATGTGGTCTAACATATGGTGTATTTCATCATAGATTATGATGATTGATGATGATGACGATGATGATATGAATGGAGATATTATATATTTGATAATCTAAGCAGACATAAATACCTTACTATTTCTTCCTTTTAAAAAGTACAAGGTTCTGGGGTCTTTTTCAGCCCTGACAATATTTGTTTGCGAATACACTCCTGTGACATCAAGGCCAATCAGATTAAATCAGTTAGACTGACAGTTAGTCCCAGAAATAAAGTTACCTTATTTGGAAATATATATCTACAAAATAAATACAATCAAATCCAAATGGACAATGCTCAGCTGAGGCAATCTAGACTTGCCCAATCATTCTAGACTTAAGTTGGACTCTTTTTTTAATTTATTCTCAAGGGTCTGGGAGACGTACTGTGTACGTGTGGAGCGTACTTCTTCTTGTAAAACAAAATTCTAATTTCTCAGACAAACGTAATGTACATACAAACATAAAAGCTTGCAGAGTAATTGCTTTCATTGCCCATTGTCCTGTGAGGAGAGCTTTTCAAGACGCATTTGTAACACAGTCGTGAAACAGTCGTTTTACTTCAATGGTTCAAACAAACTTGATCGCTTGTGGCAGTCCTTTTTGGTTTTGTTGCAAATCAATATTATTCTGAACCATATTTTCCAATATTTCCAGGTCCAGTGGCAATTATGGGCTCCAAACAAAAACTTATAGCCAGTGAGTTTGGTGTAATGCTGCTTTGAACAATATTTCAATCATATCGTTGTGTGTCACTTTAATTTTAGAAGAATACCCAAAATGTTGCAAGTTGCAGCCATTTGCCATGTTGGTGAAACTAACATGCCAACTATCATAACCAGGGTTAAACTGGAATTTGAGCCCATGTCGATTGCAGATCCTGCCATGGTAAAGGGAAGCAACTATGCACAGCTGTGACTGGGCTAGGCTTGATTTTTTTTCTTCTGTTTGTGTGTTTGTTTGTTTGTTTGTTTGATGTTGCACTCAGCAATTTTCCAGTTATATGATGATTGTCTGTAAATGGTGTGGACCAGACAATCCAGGGATTGACATCATGAGCATCAATCTATGCAATGTGATACAATGACATCCATCAAGCAAGTTAACAGTGAGTGGGTATGGCTTTACACCACTTTTAGCAATATTCCAGCAATATGACGATGGGGGACACCAGAAATGGGCTTCACACATTGTACCCATGTCGGGAATCGAACACAGTTCTTCGGCATAATGAGCAAACGCTTTAACCACTAGGCTACCCGACCACCCAGCAAGTCAATAGGTATGACCACCTGATCCGTTAACTGCCTCTTATGAAGACCTGTGTTCAAACCCGGATCTTCACGGAATCCAGTACAGGTATAAATAGAAATATTAAAATAAATACCTATGTCAATCATTTATTTATATGAAAGTCATTCTGTTGTGGAGTTTAAGTTTTGTTTGTTTGTTTGTTGTTTAACGCTGCACTCAGCAATATTCCAGCTATATGACGGCAGTCTGTAAATAATCGAATCTGGACCAGACAATCCAGTGATTGATATCATGAGCATTGATCTACGCATTTGGGATCGATGACATGCTGCAGCTGGCTTCTTGAATCACTGATAGAGATGTAGACATGGAATTTCTATATAACATATTTTTATTGTACAAGAGGGTCTATATTACTAATGGGAGACATAATAACAATAATTTAAAAAATTTTTTAGTTTATTTCTTGGACAGGCTGCTTTTCAGTAGGGGCAGCGGACTCGCGAAACATAAATAAAAAATGTGTGGCTGTAGTTTGATCATATACACTGTATTGTACAACAGACATGCACAGAACAAGCTGGTAACAAGCAATGAGTTTACCATCTGCGAAGTGAGTTCCGACAAATTGGTTCCATCTGCATGAGTCATGAAATTAGGGTCATTAAGACGACAATATATTGGTTTCCAGATCATTAATGAAAACATACCTAAAGGCAGCATGAAAAATTATTTTCTTCCACTCTTCTCCCAAAACCCTAATAGAACTGCAGACTGGATAAAAAAATGTGGTTGGTTTGGCAAAGATAATATCCTTTTTCAAGCCTCGGTAATTTTAGTTCAGTTCACAAAGATTATACGTCTTGCCAGTCTACACTCCCCAGGGCTGA